CATGAGTAAATCATACATTGGTATATGTAAAAATTGTTCTTCTTTCTTTCTTTTTTCTTCTTCATTATTATAGTCAGCATTATTAGTTTTTAAAATATTTTGTTGTAAACTATACTTCAATGATTTGAATCGTCTATTTAACATTTCATCTACATGCATAGGTAACTGCAGTTGCATTTCTTGTTGTTTTGTTAGTAGCGTGGTTATATCATCTAATTTTGTGTTTATATCAGCTAAGTCTGTTTCTTGATCTTGTTCATCTTGTTGACGATCAAATAACTGTTGTATATTTAACCCTAGATTTAAATCATTTGCGTATTGCGATAAATGACGATTTAATTCATCAAATTCTTGTTTATAACCGTTATGTTTAAATACTTTTTTAAACCAATTATCGGTTGTAAATTTTAATATTAAGTTGTAACAGTCATCGATACAGGATGATAATCCGTTTAGGATCTTTTCTATATTTGGACGACTGGTTAATTCATGATTCTCAAGTGTTTGAAGTGGAGCTATGATAGCATAAATACGATCAACTAAACGCTGACATTGTTTTTTATTTGCTTTGACTTGATATGATATATTCTTAATTACTATAACAACCTCAACAATTCCTTGTAAGATAAAATACGCTTCCATGATAATTGTACTTAATAATCGATGAGTAAAAGCAGCAACTTCTTGAAGTGAATGGAAAAAAATAAATGTTCTGTCGTATGAAATGGCAGAAGCATCTGCTGAACATACACTTATAAACACAATCAATCACACATATTTGACCATACAAATGAAATCCAATGATACTATTCTGAAGTTCAAATAAATACTTATACAAGGTTTTGTTTTAGAATCACTAAAACGACATTATTTTCATGACTAATGATTGGAAAAAAAGAAAAGTATCATCATATTTTATATACAAACACGAGAAAGAGCACAGAACTACTTGTTGCTATAATAAACAAAGTATTATGAGACAATACAGATTTTTTACCTATATAAAAATATATTTGCCTTTTCGATCGGTGATAATACTGTTAGGTACAGATGTGCAACGATAATCGAAAGAAAAAACAGCAAGAAAAGAAAATCTTTATTTTCGTTCGCAATGACGCTTATCCATTTACGTTATCACATTAGGAGGCAAAACATTGTCTCCATAGTCGTGATAAAATTATTGCTCGTAAAGAACAGAAGAAAAATTACAGATGCAGATGGATGATGGTATATAGTACTGCTCAAACGTGTAAGAACGAAGAATTTTCACCATATCTTTTGAGGTTTCTGTTTTAAAGCTAATTGTGGACAAACAAATACAAATATCAAGAAAATATGCAAGACTTCTTCGATTAAAACAAATAAGCCCATTTTATGCCTATATTCCAAAAACCTGGTTAAGCTGGTCATCATGAAAGAGCTGAAAAATCGACTTATTTTGCGCCAGACGGATTCAACTTAATATTAAAATTTACAACCGATAATTGGTTTAAAAAAGTATTTAAACATA